CACACACACACACACACACACACACACACACACACACACACACACAGGCACAAAAGGGTTTGCTTGAAATCCCAGGCCCCAGTTTTGCACAGATATAAGGAAGGAAGCTTAATCTACTATTGGATTAATAGAACAACAAATGGCACATAAACAGACAATCATGATGCAAACAGTTACTTTGACAGGGTGGTTGAGAACACATCAAGGGATTTCTTGGCATTTTCCATTTGAATCAATTGTATAGCTCCGGTAACCTTCAAAAAATAAATAAATAAATAAATACAGTAAATAATGCAGTAAGTAACATCAACAAAATATATGCTAGTAGCAAGCAATAGGGATTGCTTAACAGGGACACATATAGCACTGTAAAATACATACTTAAATACAGGACAAGAGGAAACTGATACTGTGAACAGAATATTTAATATCTGTCTAGACAATGGAAATATTTAAAGTTTAAAATCTATTGTAAAGCTAAAAATCTTTTGTAAGGTTGAACATAGAATAGATCTAAAGCTTTCTTGCCTGTTGTAAAAAGCATTACTTGTATATCTAATTATTCACAAGAAATCATAATAAGACTGATTATAGTACTAATAATCACACAGTACCTTAAAAAGTAAGCTCTTTGGATCCATTTTGTGTTCTGATGTTGTTCCGTATTTACAGTAAATCTTTGTGTCTGGTCTTTGTGTCCGTTGCTTTGGAGTATCATTGCAAAACTAATTTTTTCACCTTTGTTCCACTCTGACAGCAAGAGTATTTGGTCATGTTATGTTGAGCAATAATGTGCATAATAATGAGTCCTCTCGGTCTCAGCTCAGTCACACCACTCGTGACCATTTTCTGAGGTTTATCAGTGGTGCATGAACAAATAAAATATATATGGAAATGCATGTAGCGCATATACTGCTAAAAAAGATAAGGCACTTTATATCAACTAGTTTGCAGAGCAGTAAGGCCAAGTGGGGAATGTAAGATGTAAATAAAGCAAGTAAAACAAAGGAAAATAAAGTAATACCTTTTACCTTTTTCCTTTGACCTTCTAGTAAACGTAAATCAATCAATCAATCAATCAATCAAGTTTGTATTGTTGTTTTTTCGAAAACCATGAATTATGTCTTGTACAAAAGGTCAGGATAGTCCCTATAGTGCATTTTAAAGGGGGAACTGAGGGTACCTGATAACAATAACTTGGACATGGATAAAGATGTTTGTAACTATGCAAAATGGTCAAGGTTTTAATGTAAATGCTCTTTGACAGAGATGTGTTGGCTATAGCTAAGTGTTTGTGTTTACAGTTGATGAGACACGTATTAAGTTGAAGAGATACTATAATCTCCAAGACTGCAAGACACATCCATCAAAACACACATCAGTCCACTCAATCCATCACTTCAAATGTGTAATTTAATGCATAGCCAATAAGAAAAGTTAAGACAACAATAAATGTATACTTATAGTTCTTACTTATTAATCTGAATTTGTATTTAAATAAATGTGAGTAATGTTGGGCTGCACGGTGGCTCATGAGTAGCACTGTCGCCTCACAGCAAAAAGGTCCCAGAAATCCAGAAAGTGTCCAAGACCATTTGTCTTAATTTTTAACAACATATCTATTGCTTCATATCTTAAAACGTAATCAACCTTTGTCACATTTTGTGCAGTTTTCTAAATAAAAAGTGCTGTTGTGTTATATTTCTTTCAAAAAATGCCCCTTGTTTTGATATTTTGTTATATAATGAAAATATATTTTTAATTGAGGCTCAGATTTGAGGTTTGTCCTTTCCATCTCTAGCTTTGCAAAGTGACAGCAGTGAGTGACTTTGAATGTTGTATAACTAGTATGTTAACATAATAATTTTTTAGTGTATTCATATTTTCGAAAGGACCCAGACCCTGCCAAGTGGAAGGGGTCAAGTGGTTAGGTGGTCTAAATTTAACCTTTGCAGCCCACTGCTCCGCCATTGATGATAGCTGTGCTATATTTAGTAGGGTGGGTGGCAGCTGTGAAAGCATTTATTGGCTCTGAGCTGACAACGACCCCGGTACCATGATACATACATTGTTTGGTGGTGGTGAAAAAGAAGAGAACTTAGTCACACTGAAAGGCACATATAGAAGTACATGTATAAAGAGGCACATCAAGAAGCTCAATCAACAAACCACACTAGTAGAAAGAACTGGAGATCAACCTGATTGGATTAACATTACTATTAAGAAGACAGAAGCTTCTGTCGTGTGGAATATTTTCTATGACCTCCTGCAACTGTTCAACGCTAATGATATGATTGTTTTTTTTCAAAATCATAACAAACACAGAGGTCAAAGATAATTTCTTAAAGAAGAAAAGCTGATTAAGGTCAATATCCTCTTAGTCTGAAGAAAAGGTCCTGAAGATTAGTATTTCGGCTGGTCCTAAATGCTGATCTGATACTCCTGTTGACACGTGAGTTTACATTTGAGATGCTTACTTTTTATGATGGTGTCTTCTCTTGCAATTTAAATGTCATTAAAATAAAAAAATAAGAGAGATAAATTGAATCACATTTCTGTTTCAAAAATCTATATGGTACTAAATATTTTAATAATGGGACTTCATTTTTATACTTTATAAAATTACTGTTAAATCATTTTCAACTTGTATCATCCTTGTAGAAATCAAAAGTCAACAAAAACTTTAATGTGGCATCTTGTTTTATGTTTTAATGTTTTTTTTTTAAACTCAGGGGCACAATCACAAATGTTAAAGTCACAATTAAAGTTTAGTTTTTAAAATACTGTAACATTATTGTATCAAAGTACAACATACACAAGTAGGCACTGGAAACTGAGTTTTACTACAAACATACAGAGAATTCAGAGCTATAAGATATAGACTACTTAATATATGACCTAAGGAAACATTCACAGATAAACTTTAATATCTAAACTTTTATGTATAGTTAATATCTTTGGATAACTTTGAGAGGCAGCAGTAATTCACCGCGGCCCTCAATATGAACATATTATAAACAAAAATATGTGGTAACAATTTATAATAACTTTCATTAGAGATCATGAACAAACATCATATAATGCTCATATAACAGATCAGTAGTTCCGCATTCAGATATGAATATTAATTAAACTTACATTAATAACAATTATATTCAATATTAATGTTAATAATTAATCATTAATCATTATAGGCCTATATTATTTATTAATGTTTAATTAAAATTATTATAAGTTAATGTTAAATTATCTTTTTTAAGCACACATAAACTATCTTACATTTTTATTTACAGTCAATATGCTATGATATACACATCATACTGTCTTTGGTCATGGATATTAACATTATACTTGCACAAGAGTGTGCTAATCATCTGACATAAAAGAATCCTATTATTAGGGCATGGTTCATATTATTTGACTGGGCACTTCCGGAAAATTTACCAAGCATATAATATTTGCATGACCCAATTACTATTGCACTATGTCTTAAACATGCACTCAGTAATCTTTTATGTTGTGCTGACTGATATGACAGTCAACTTGGACTTAAACTGACAAATTCTCAAAGCCCAAAATGCCCAGGAGGGCAATCTGATCCAAACTCTTTAGGTTCGTTTACCCTCACTCTCCGATTCGACTGAGAATTTACATAGAGCTTCCCTGTTCATTCTCTGACAGGTTTAGAAATGTATTGAACAGAACACAGGCCAGATTTGTTCTAAAATAAACTACATTTAGGTTGCCGTAACATATTATGGTGCAAGACACTAAAAACAGTCAGATGTGATGGAACAAACAAAACATTTGCTCATGTGTAAATCGACCAAGAAGTTAAAAAAATTTAATGTATGAATGCCATTTGAACAGTAAAATTTTCTACTGACTTGGATAGAAACCACTGAAAAGCAGCCATTGTGTGAAATATAATTTGCATATAAGTATAGATGGATTTGTATTCATATAATATTTTATTATATAGAAATTCATGCTTAGTAGGGAGTCTATGTTAGCAAAATGCTCTCATAAAAACCATGCTAACAGTGATGGCACTTTGATGTATAGTCCCTGATATAGAAAAGTGATGAATCCTGATGCTATGAGTGTTTGTTAAAGTAGTTCATCTGAACATGCTTTGTCTTGTACTGCACATGGCCAAATCTCCCGCGTCTTTATTTGGACAGACTATTTTAAATGCTTCCTCCTGATATACAGAACCAGCTGTCAAGGCTTGAGTAGGGAATGGGGACTGGAGTTATCTTGACTGCTGTAAGAGGACTTCCTTAATGCAAGGAATGTTTCACTATCCCATATAAAGTTCACAATGTACATTGTATTGTACCCTTACAAAAAATAACTGCAATAGTTTAACTGTAGTGTGTGGTAATTTGGACACAATAACAGCAGTATTGAAAACGTCTAGGTTACTTGTGTAACCCTCGTTCCCTGAAGGAGGGAACGGAGACGTTACGTCAGTCGTGACTGACGAATTGGGATCTCGCCCGAGAGCCCAATCACCTTCGAGTGTAAACTAAACAAGCCAATGACAGTTGGCGTGCGTGTTTCGCCACGCGCACCCCGCCCCGCAGCGCGGGTATAAAAGGAGAGCGCGTGCAAACGCACATCAGTTTTTCGCTGAGGAGCCGAGACTACGTGCCCCGGCCCGCCGTAACACCAACGCCAGCTGTTTCTCTCTGCAAACACTCGCGGAGATTCGTCTTGTAGAAGGCTCGGCTCCGAAGCGAAAAACTGATGTGCGTTTGCACGCGCTCTCCTTTTATACCCGCGCTGCGGGGCGGGGTGCGCATGGTGAAACACGCACGCCAACTGTCATTGGCTTGTTTAGTTTACACTCGAAGGTGATTGGGCTCTCGGGCGAGATCCCAATTCGTCAGTCACGACTGACGTAACGTCGAACGTGACTGACTGAAAGGGAACTGTACCTACACTGCATACAAATTATCACTGCAGCACTGCAACAGTGAAAACTCACCACACCTGTACTACAGTTATTAACATATGTACTACTGCATCTATATTACTGTGCTTGAACAGTTAAAAAAATGCAGTACAAACATTACTACTCAAAACTTAAAAATGTATTTCACCTGGTCTTGTATTTCCATTAAAACTGATAGCAGACCATTGACTGGAACTGATGGGGAGACACTGGGATCAAGTCCTGGCGTTAGTCGTATTCATATGAATACCTTGTACCAACTATGCAATGTAAACTGTATATTCTTTAGTAAATTTTTCAACAGAGGATTAACAGCTACAGCACAATCTAGAGCATTTAAATTCATAAAGAATACTGGATCCAGAAAGAATGTTCAAAAAGGAGAGTGTTTGACATTTTTGTTGTTAAAGGTTTTCTTTTTTTGTTTGTTTGTTTATTAGCCAACATTTTATGTATTTCTTCATTAACTTTTCCAACTTTGTCTCATCATAACCATCTGTAAAATGTCTTTGGTGATTCACTGAGCTGCAAGTTCCCAAATTAAAGAGCACACACACACACACACACACACACGCACGCACGCACGCACGCACGCACGCACGCACACACACACACACACACACACACTTGTTAGACCCATAACTCACAACAAGTTATAATGACAGGAATGTTACAAATGTCAGATTGAAAAATGATGACCAACATAAAACTTTTTGTTTTGTTTGTTTTCAGAGCTGGGTATGTGCCACAGACATTTGTGCCATTCCTAATTTCAATAATAA